GGGCCTTTTCCAATTAAAATAATTATAAACCCAGTAACAGTAGAATTAGAACTACCCAAAAATCTTAGGCAAATACACCCAATTTTCCACTGCAGTTTGCTGAAAAGAGAACAATAGTCACCCTTATGGCCAAAAATCCCCCCCACCCCCAATCATAGTGGAAGGAGAACAACACTTTGAGATAAAGGAAATCCTAGATTCTAGGAGATATCATGGGACAACTCAATACCTAGTAGCATGGAAACACCTCCCTGCCTCACAAAACGAGTGGGGCCATAAACATCATTTCAGAGCCCCGAAGCTGTTAAAGAAGTTTCATTCAGAGTATCCTAACAAGCCAGACTAACTTTTATACCTGTTTTGTTTTCTTTACAGGTGGATCTCTCTTATTTTTAAGGGGGGCAGGATGCCAGAATCCAATTATATTTCATTTCTATCTACCTACTGTGATGAAAAACCAATTCTTACTGTATTCTGGATTCTGTCATACTACGAAAGGGGAGGAGAGTAAGCATGGGGGTTTTATGACTCTCCCTTCCTTAACTACAAAGTGACTGTTTGTGGATTCTCTTTGAGAGAACTACCCATAACAATGTGGCCATCAATTTTCATCTCACGCTCTCTGAAGTTCTCCCCTTTGCCGGCAGTGAGGAAAAAGGGGTGGGAAATGCAACGCCTGGGATCTAGGAAAAGAAAGGATGAGTGATCGTGCCGACGGAGCGGACTGATGGATTGAATCACCTGGAAGAACTGTGGGATGGGGGCTGCTTGGGAACACTTTAAAACATTGAATGGTGGGAGAGGATTCCCCAGATTCTGTCTAGCACGCCTGCAATCAGTCTCTCTTAATAAAGATCCCTGTTGGAAGAGACATTCCAAGAGTTCTGTCTTCTTAAGATGTAAATTGAGGTGGGTCCTTACAAGTAGTGGGCATAAGACGGAGCCCTGTGGTACCGCACTGCTTATTTCCCTCCATGTAGATGTAGTACCATTAAGGATTACTCGTTCAGTACAGTTTGTCAGCCATTTACAAATCCATCTGGTGGTGATACTGTCTATCCTACATTTTTCTAGCTTACCCAGAAGTAGGTTATGGTCTACTTTGTCAAATGCCTTATTGAAGTCTAAGTACACTATGTCCACAGCGTTTAGCTGGTCCACTAATTTAGTCACTTTGTCAAAGAATGAAATAAGATTGGTTTAGCATGATCTGTTTTTAACAAACCTGAGCTGGCTTCTGGTTATAACTTTATTTGTTTCTAGATGTTCACAGATCTGTTTTTTGTGTATTTTTTTTTCCAATATCTTCCCAGGTACTGATGTTGGGCTGATTGGTCTGTAGTTTCCTGGCTCTGTTTTTTTTCCTTTTTTGACTATAAGTCAAAGAGGGTTGGAGCTATGTTTCAGAGGCTCCTTAGACTACATGGGCTCACATATTGTGCTAAGTCTAAATTATTTACACTCCTTATCCTCTCCTGAGAATTGTCTTCTGATCGTTTAGACAAACTTTATTGAATAAAGAACAGTTGATTAGCTTTGCCGAACAATCTAAGCCAAGGGTGTCAAACTGCCGGCCCACAGGCTGGTTGCATCATGCGGAGGCCGTGCCCAGCCCAGCTCTGGCAATGCAAAAAAAGTTGCGATACATCGCAACATGTCACATGACGCGGCGAGTTTGACACCTGTGATCTAAGCTATAAAGAGGGGTTTATGAACTATGTCCGCATTCAGAACACATAACATTAAAAACCAAGTGTATTATATTTTAACTTAAGCAATGTTTACACAACCCATGTTGTAATTCACACATTGTACTTTGCTTGGTTTGTGGCATATTGTATGAACATGGCCATGGTGCTTTGTAAATAATGGTTAATGGCTTACTGTGAACCCATGTGACCATGGCTTATTTCACAAAATATAGTTAAGTGCACAATAGCTTACTGCGATTATATACAATATACATAAAATCATGAATTATGATTCTTTTAAATTTTGATTTTCACATACTAAAAAGTACAACGCATTTTAGTAAAGCCTCTCTATTGTACAGTATTTTATTATCAAACTTCATGGAAGACAAGTAAGATGGCATTATACACACAAATGGACACACTAATTTCCTCCTAGGCTGGCTAGTATGTCATATGAATATAATTTAACCCTATGGTATCAATTAGGTCCTAAATGTAACATGTTTAGTTTTTGGATGCTTCTCCAGTGATTATAGTTTGCATCCACACTTTATGTCTGTATGTAATGGGTGAATTTAATCAGTTGTAGCTTATTTAACTAAGCTTAATTAAACTTAGCATAGTTAACACAATGCACAAGTTCGGTCAGTGACTTGATTTTTTTTTCAAACGGGACATCACTCAAAACACTGAGCCAAACCCAACAACTTACAAGATGTCTTAGGTCAGAAGTCCCTAACCTTTTGGGCACCAGGGACCAGTTATGTTGAGAGAGGTTTTTCTGCGGACCAGAGGGGGTGTGGTTTTTGTGTGCTACCTGCATCCCATGGATGGGGCTTTCCTTGTTTGTGGGGACTGGTTGCTGGCATGCTGCGGACCAGTACTGGTCCACAGACCAGGGGTCTTAGGTAATATGTGCCACTATCATGGTACTTTGATGTTGTACTGAGATAAGGGTCTCAAATGCAGAGTTCATTGGGTGAGTTATATCTTTTTCTTTTTCTTGGCTCAACCTATCACACAAAGTTGTTGTGAGGATAAAATGAGGGTTGAAGGTACATATCCTGCTATGAAATGAATTCCTTAGTCAGATCTAATAAATAAGAAAACATATCACTGCATGGACTAGTTTGGGTTCACACACACTCAGCCAAATTGTAATTTGCTTGTTTGTGGTTGAGCACCTTATATAAATCTCAGAAGACATGATATGTGATTTAGCAAGCCGTGTGAACCCTGCAGAATCGATTTCCATGTCGTGGAGTCGGATCCTTTCTATGTGAAAGGGAAGATACCCGTCTGCTAGGAAAGGTGACACATGGCATCGGCAGGCAGGGTGGCAGTGCTGAATTTAATTGCCAAGTTCGGCGGCGGCGGCAGAGGGCGTCCTTCCTCCTCAGGACCGTCTCCGTTAACATGCTGGCTGCGTTCGATGGCAAGCCCGGGTCCCGTGGGGCAAGGATTGTTCACTGACCTGGGAGATCAGAGGGAAAGGAAACGTGTTACCTTGATTGTGTGATTTATGACTGTCGCAGTCTGCACGGGGTGGGGATGGGCGGGAGGCGGAGTAAATCCTGAGGAAAAGGAGAGCCGGGCGAACCAAAAGGGAAAATAAGCAGCCTCGGAATTGAACGTAATTTGTGCACCGTGGAGCAGGGCTTCCCTTTCGCTTTCCGTGGCAGCGCACTCGCGGGGGAGGGGGCAACTCATTCGCCCCACCCAGGTTTTGGCTTCTGTGTTTCCCTCTCCCAGTCTACGGGGCGGGGGCGGGACCGGGGCTGTGAGGCAGCGGTCGATTGGCCGAAGCGGAGGGGGGCGCTGGTCCGTCGGGGGGGGAGGGGGGATGGCCATCGGACCGAAGTCCCGCCTGGACAGGCTCAGCGTCGTGGGCGTACTTGTGCCCCCGGCCGAAAGAGAGGCACCAGGCAGCCGGAGGGAGGTGAGTACCCCGCGCGGGTGAAGGCGCGGCAGGACGAGCTAGAAGCTGGCCTCCTTGAAGCCCCTCCTCTCCCAAAACATGCATGGGGGGGAATCGTTTTGAGCAAAGGGCGACAAAGCTTGGCGTGTCAAGTCGACCCGACCGCCA